CTGGTGCCAAAAAGGTGACAAGGTTGGTGCCACACAGAATTCATTGTGGGGGTCATTCCACAAATGTGAGGGGCGATGGTCACACAACAACTTTCCTCTTGTGGCTGCCTCCAAGCCCCTCCCAAAGTTGGTTCTTAGCTGTCCGGGCCATGTTCCCCTTACCTGACTAGTCCTCCTCCCAGTGCCAGTGTCCCTCTACCCATCACTGTACTCACTAGGCCTCCCCGCTTTGACCCACACCCTTCATCCAAACACCTTTCTAGGCGTATTCTGCCGTAGACACATTTAGCAGGTACAAGGCCAGGAACAAGTGAGGGGAAACTTAGAGACACCCTCATCCTTGCGGCATTCTGAAGGGGATACTCAAGGGCGTGCGCCCCCTTTGGTGGCCGGCCACCACCGAGCACTGCATGGGCTTATATGCCCCAGGGGAAGGGGGAACCCATGACACCTGGATGTGCTCAGCCCGAGGCCAGAGGAAACTGCTAGAAAGGCACTGGGTGGCAGCGGGGTGGGGACAGCTTGCAGGTGGCTGCTGAAGAGGCAAGCAGTCTGCTTCCCCAGTGCTCCTAAAGCTTCCTCCCTGGTCTTGGGATGCAGAAAGTCCAGGCCAAGTTCTTTAATAAGAATGAACCAGAGATCACCTTAAAGCAATAGAATGCATTTTTTACAGATAAATGCAAGTAACATTTTGAATGTGTGCTTGTTATTTGCAGTGCATTGGCATACGGCCTTTTATACTTGCAGAAGGTACAACAAATCACTGAGGCCCATTTATATTTGTAAATTCTTGAGTGGCGTGCTTTGCATGGACCCATGGTCATCGATTCTTCTGGTAAAGGCATAAGGCATTCAAATGGCTATAAAATACTACTAAGTGGCTATAAAGCACTACTAATTTTTCCCAAATGTAAACCTAAATTTTACCACTGAGCTGAGCCTTCTATGTGTGTTTGTTCAGGAGTAATTGCATATCCTTGTCTGCAGGGCAACTATCCTAGAAAATGGTTCCATTTGGAATTCATACACTGGCATGGACATATCTGCCCAAATTAAATGTGCTCTATATGGGTCTGAAACTGATATAAACATTAATGTTCTCTACACATCTATTTTGTTTTCAGAGCTCTACACTGTCCTGGATTAAAATGGAAAACAATCCCATCTGGGCCCACCATAACATTCCATATCTGAGGCAGGAGGATTCCAGGGGAACCATCTCAGAGAAAGAAAGTAGCAGCTGGCCAACTTCTCCCCTCCGTTCAACACCTTGGACAATCGGTTGGAGTGATCTGCAAGGAGCATTCTGTAACCTGCCACACATAGGAAAAGTGTGCACATTTTGGAAAAGAGTGACCACAAAAGGTGGAATGAACACAAAAGGGTGCTATATACACAAAAATATGGAAAATAGGGGAAGAGCAACCAGATACTGCTGGTCACGCCTTCACTATATATGGTGGTTCCAGTGGAAAATAGAAGAAAGAGAAAAAAAATGGATGCAGCATAAGATAGAAATAAGTGGGCCAGATGTTGCAAAATACCTTCTTGGTGAAAGAAAGGGCTTTAAAAACATTACAACTTCTTCCAGTATGAGGCCCTTTTTATGGCATAAGGATTATGTATGGAAGAACCTTCAAAACTTACAAGCCAGAACCACAACTGATCCCTCTTATCCCTGCCTCAATTGCATTTTAAATTTGCAAACAGCCATGGTTGATTGCAAACACCTCCCTCTCATTCACTGAACTTTTGGAAGGAAGATACAGATGGGTTCTCCATGTAAAGATCAGTGAGGAATGGGTCAAATTCTTCTGGGGAAACCTGCACCCCCCCAGATGGTGGCTGGATTACAACTCCTCTCATTCCTGGACATTGGTCCTTAGAGCTGATGAGAGTTGGAGTCTAACATGACCTGGAGGCCCACAGGTGCCCTCCTTCTCTCTTTCAGGACATCAAGTTGAACTCTTGCTCTCCTGAATATTCACTTACACTTGCTCAGCTGTCCAAAGTCCCCTCTGTAGCCTCCACATTTGTTTCTCAATCACATACAGCTCTGCCCCACGCCTAGACAAGAAGGAGCCCTTTTTCATACCAAATGAAAAAAGGGGCATGTCACTGACAGAAAAGCTGCTCCAGATGGATCAACTGATTCGTATTTTCATACAGTCTCACCTGACAAAAATCTATCAAGGCCAAGTACAACACTTTGAAATGATAAACAAGAACATGCTGTGAGGGAAACCACCAGCATGAGCATAGCCAATAAAGAAGAAACTCTCCCAGATGGATTGGGCCAGCTGCGCCTGTCTTCTGGGAGAGCTCTGATCTGCCCAAAGGTGATACTAAAGGGGAAGATGCCAAAGGGGGTGACCCATCTGAGGACCACAACTTTGGGGAGACACGAGGGGCAAGACCATCCCTCTAACATCTTGCCTAACCAGAATCTCTGGTGAGCAACTGGCTGGGAGGGAGGCTACTGGTCCAAGAGAGATGTGGGGAGACCCGATTAGTGAGGTTATGCGTATAGAGAGAAATGACATTGGGAAGAGGACTAGCAAGGTAAGGAACACACAGCTATGACAATGCCATGTGCTGGTCTTCTCTGCAGCCTTAGATTTGGTGGTGGTCCTATCAACCTGCCCTCAGGCCTCTAGATGCAACTTTTAAATGCCAGAACCTCCCGTGTACGTGGCTTAGCAGTAGGAGTGGCCCAACACATGCAGCAGAGCACAGTCGAGACCTGTTCTCTTCAGCCAGGAAGGAAATAGAGATTCAAGGGTGAGGGATGTAAATTCAGTCCTTTTATCATGGTCAGATCGTCATCTGCTGAGGTGGCACTTCCCCGCTGCAAAGGTGGCAGACCTGCCACGTTCGGTTGCTCCAGAGGCAAGCAGATCCAACTAGTTTGCAGAGGGCTCTAAAGTTCTCTCGTGATGATATGGCTGGTCCTTCTGCCAAACCCCTGGTCAATCTGGAATGCAGAAATGACCTGCCCCATTGACACGACTGCTCCTGAGCACCCACTCTTGAGTAAAGCTCCTGTGGCGTATTCCAGAGTTGAGCATGATAAAAGAAAATAGGGCATGGCTTGAATACAGATGGAATGAGATTCACAGGGCAGCAAGAAAGGAGAGGACCTTCTGTTGGGAATGAAAGAGGCAACTATTCTTGGCACAGTTACCAGATAGAACTGACTCTTTGAGGATGAGGATGAGGATGAGGCCTGGGAAATGTGGTGTATGGAAAAACAGATAACAGAGGAAGAAGAGTTTATCTCAAGGCTGTCATCTTGAGGTATTCAGGCAGGCCTTGGGAAGTGTTGGGAGGGGAGCAAGAGGAGTCTGGGCCGATCGCTGACCCCATGACACAGCCTCAGGAGAGGACTAGCCAACCAAATGACCCGCATAGATCTAGGAGGTTTGCCCATCTCCACAGGGGTACATCCAAAGGGGAGAGGCCCAGTGTTACTGAAAAGGAGGGTTCTCAAAAATAGCCTCTATAGTTTGAGTTCAGCAAACTGCTCTGTGTGTACTCAGACACTCTTCCCTTGTTGGCTAATAGCTTTCTAGATGTATAATGGAAATCCAGATGTTTTTGCCAAAGAGTTGCCTGCTGTTTGAGAGAGAGAAGGAGAGAAACCAGCTCCCAAGATCTTCCTAGTGGTGACCCCTGGATTATGAGATGACCTCTGCACTGCGGTCTGCCTGATACTGACAATGTCTTCTTTTTGCAGCCAGATTAAGAGCACCTCACACCCAGGCATTAAATAGTATTTAATGGAATACGATTAAGGATTTATATCAGCTACCTTTTAACACATTTAGTATTTTTATTTCAGTTGTTTTAAGCTGTGTAAATTGTTTCAGATTCTGCATACCAAAATTATATGTTGTATTTCATTATCTATATTTATAGTTTGTAGTGTTATGAATTGTTGTGAACCACCCAGAGAGCTTCGGCTATTGGGTGTTATACAAATAAAATAAATAACATTAAAGGGGTACAAATATTAAGACTACATATTAAATAGCTGATTGAAAAAGTGTATCTTCACACTGTTTCTAAGGACAAGATAATTGAGCCAATCATACACCTTGCAAAAGCATATGCTGCAATTCGGAGGTAACACAAGAGACAGCTTTTTTGCATGTGCCCAACAAGGGAGCTTCTGTAGTTAGCAACACCCTCAGAAGTGTCTCTCCTCTGGACCTTAATTCCCCAGCAGGTTTATAGTGAGACAGGTGATTCCTTAGATAGTCAGGTCCTAAGGAACTTGGGGCTTTAAAATGTTAAATCCAAGAACTTAAATTGCACCTAGAAACAACTTTATTTTGTATATTATACACTGCCCAGAGAGCCCCGAAGGCCTATGGGAGTGGTTTATAACTGTAAGAATAAATAAATAAACTTACAACCAGTGAAAGTCTTTCAGGACAAATTCTTTGCCATTTAGCAGCCTACCTGCCATGTTCTGCACCAAATGAAACTTCCAAATGAAATGTGATCTTTAAAATTTTCTGTAACTAGGAGAGGGCCATTGGAGGTGGAGATGGGACTGAACCAGTAGAACAGAAACCAACAGGGCCAGTGCCAGGGAGCAGCACTGCAGGACACCACCTGGGGTCCACCGGCCTTCCTGCTGCCCCCACTTCTTCTCACTGTTGCTGCCTGTTGACCCACTCTTTTTCATAATGAAAGCAGCAGCAGGCTCCCCATATGTTGCCTTCCATGTGCCTTAGTTACCTCTGGGTGAGTTTGCACACTGGGCCCAGGGGAACAGAAGGCAAGTGAATGGGATGCAGGTCCACTCAGAAGGTAGCCTTTCTCAGGGAAACGGGTATCTTGCCCAAGGAGACTTCCCAAGGAGATAAGGGAAATACCATCGATGGGGACAGATAAAAATAGAGAACAGGGATGTCTTGTTTAGGTATCCCAGGCCATTTTGAAATGAAATTAAAAGTAAGAAGCATTCATCAGCTGCTAACGGTTATCCTCACCTGAGATGAATCTGCTTTGGCAACTTCAGTAGTGGCAGCCAACACGCCACGGAGGCTGTCTCCATTTTCTCGAACAAGGAGGTAGGCCAGCAGAAGAAACACGTGGACAGGGACTTGAGTTGTGATGGGCAGCATGGACTTCACTGAAGATAACCAGTCAGATGTGGAAGACTGGTCTCTCACAAGTGCAAGGAACCTCCAAGTAGCATGCAATGGACCATAAGTGCTGGTTATGGGGAAGAAACAGGAACCAGAGGCCTGAGGCAAATGAAAACAGCACACTAGAATGATGAAAGGCAAAAACAAGCCCCCGAAAAAAACCTTTCAAAGAGGAGTCTCTTAGTTTAAACCAAGGATTAAAGGATTCCTGAGTAATTTACCTAAAAAGCATGTGTGAAGAACAACACCTGGCCCCTTCCAACTCTACTGTTCTATGATTCTATGACACCATTTCATAGCTGTGAAACCCCTTTTCTTCAGATAAATTACTGACACTGCTGTTGATAATGATGGCTTCATTTCCTAAGTGGAGTTGACAATTATACTTGTACTACAAACCCTCTGTACTTGCTAAATGCCAATCACTGTAAGAAAGCTCTAGAGCGCCCTAGGAAAAGTTATTAGCAAGTTGAGAGCTCCAAGCAATTTGAGGTCTTTGTTATGCTAAAAGGATCTGGAGTTCCTTAGTACAGAGAGCAATCACCTTCTCATTCAAGTGGAATTTTCCAAGGTAGCAACTCATCATCATCAACACTGTCAAAGGAAGGAGAGGCAATACATTTTTGGCTTGTAAGCCAAACAGGCTATTTAGACATGGGCTTTATAACAGATTCTATGTTTGCTTCTGAAAAAGCTCATGCACAATACAAACCTATCTTTGAAAATGCACGTCTCACAGAGCCACACTCAGATATTAGCTACTAGATATCCATTTGTGACATAACACATGCACAGAAATGTGTTTTTCCTCCTGCCCTGGAGTGTGGTAGGGACTAGTGGGGTGAATGATGGATGGAGCTACAGAAATCACCCCTTATGCAAAGAAAGGAGCTAACCTGTGGAACCAGGATCAACGCCGAGCATATGCATGGCTGGGACCTGCTGAGAGCTCAAACAATCTGACAAGAACGCTCCTTCTCTTCACTTGCCTCTCATTCTGGCCTGATGATGGCTGGGAGGAGGAGGAGAAGCAGCAAGAGAAGCCTCTGCCTGCTTGCTCCTTGGCCTCCTGTCCACCAAGCAAGCAAGTGCTAGCAGCAATGAGAAAGAGCATGAGCAGAAAGACCAAACAGTGACAATGGTGATGGAGCACAGAGCCAATGAGGGATGAACCCACTGAGCACATCTTGCCCAAGAGTTCTCCAAAACCTGAAGCCAGTCCACACATCAAGGTCTGGAAGAAGCATCTTGGTTCATAATTAGGTAGGATTCCTACATAACCATTTCCCTGGCAATGTTTGAGAAGAAGATCTAGCTGGTTTGGTGAAAAACACAGTGGCATTGCTTTCCAGCCCAGGCGAGCTGGTTTTCACAAGAGTTACCTGTGCTACATGGAACAAGGACATGCAAAAATCTCTTTCAGCATCACCTTCAAGCACCTGCACCAAAAGGCTTACTAAGGTCTTCTTGATGGTTGCACCCTGATGGTTGCAGAATACCTCCCCAGAAAGACTTGCCTAACAACTACAATGCAGGGTTTTTCAGCACCAGGTGGAGACCTTTTTATATTCTCCAAAATATTTTAGTCTTTCAGTTTGTTTAAAAAAAGGGGGCACTTTTAAGGTTTTGTATTGCTCCTGGCTGTTTAACTTCTATTTTATTCTGTTGTTGTTTAAACCTTTTAAAATTTCACATTCTGTTTTCTTATGTTTTTCCATTGTATGTTTTTAAGTCCCATTCTGTGAACCTTCCAAGGAGTTTTGGCTAGTGGGTGGTATATGACGGTAATAACTAAATCAATAAAATATAAATATTAAACTTAACCAGAGGCAGAACATAAGTGCATAATTGGATAAACTAAAACACCAAAGGAGAAACACTAAAGGATGAGCATGAAAGCAGACCAAGTAGGATCCAGAAGAGACACTTGATTTAGAAATGGGAACAGCAAGGGAAAGTCTATGGTTAGAGCACAGCAAGAGAGTCCTAAGTGATGCCATCAACCCCCTGTGAACAGCCCACTTCCTTTTATAAGGTCAGCTGGGAGGCTGGAGCAAGCCAGGCCTGAGGAAGGGCAATTCCCAGCTCACTAGAGTAACATATGCACTGGGACTTCATTCATGAAAGGAGACAATTTGCTCTCAAGTTGCGACATTGCCAAGAGGTTTTCGAATGAGCAGCCAGAGCCATTCCACAGAATGGCACACCTCCCGTTTTAATTATATTGCTCAATGTAATGTAAATTCATTTTGGATAATGGGAAGTATAATGCTCCTGTACTTTAAATGACCTTTCAAAAACCCATTTCATGCAGAAGAATATTTTTAAAACTGTTACCCCCCCTGTTTATCGCTTTCAATTATCACATGCCGAAAATTAAGATCCAGCCACCTGCAAAGTTGCCACTTTGACTGATGGAATCGCTTAGAGGGAAATACGCCCCTTCACTGTTCCCAGAGGGCTCTCGCCGCCTGCCACTGTTTCCATTCTGCTACCCTCCAAGTGAGCATTAGAGAGGCAGAGAGAAGACTCCTTTGGCTTATTTTTGGAGGAACCCAGCCCAACAAGACAAATAGCTGTTTTAGCTGGTGACTGCTTCTAAACAGCCAGTGCGGTGTGATGGGCAGAGTGTTGGACTGAAGACCCAGGAAATTGAGCTATGAAGCTGACTGAATGACTTTGGGACAGTCATGGGCACGCCACCTATTGTTGTGGTTGTGAAGATAAAAATGGAGTGTACCTCACAAGAGGAACAAAGGTGCAACATAAATGCAATATAGTAACAGAATAATAGTATATATGACTGTGCGGTCAACTTTTCAAAATAATACCTTCTGTAGATCAGGGTTTCAAAAAGAATGGCCCTCAGCACTACTCAAAGCTGCTATACTCTGAAGTTATAAATCAGCATTACATTTTGTAGCAGAGGAAGGCAGAAGGCAGATTATGGTGGATCATCAGCCACTTTCTGATAGACATTTCATAGAAGGAAATGTTGGACCAGGTGCATCTCAGTATAATCTATCAGCATGGTGGTCTTATGTCTTCAGTCAGCAATTCTAAGCACACCCACTTGAGACTAAGCACCATCAAGAGCAGTAGCACTTACTTCTGAGTAGACACACTCAACATTGCACTGCTGGAAACTCAAGTGCCCCAGTGGATCAGACCAAAGGACTATCTAGCTTTTGCAATCTCACCAAGTGCCTATGGGAAAATTGCAAGCCACACACCAGGACAATGCCATCTCCCACTGTTGTTTCTTAGCAACTGGCATGCAGTGGTATGTTGCCTCTGATCCTGGAGGCACATCACCACCCTGACTGGTAGCCATTGCTGAATGTGTCTAATCCCCCTTTAAATCTGTCTAAATTGATGGCTGACCATTATCCATCATTCAACAACACACTTACGTAAGAGTGTACATTTAAGATCCCTCAACACAGATTCACCAGTAAGAGACTGTGACTAGGTATGCTTGCTTGTAAATGCAAGATGTAAGTAGAACCAATAGATTATAATAAAAGTAAGCTATAACAAAAAGTAAGAAAGACTAAAGACAGCAGACATCTCTTCTAAGTGGCAGGCTTTAAAAGAAAGCATTCTTAACAAGACACATTCAGAATTCTAAAGTCTGGAAGGTGCCCAGTTGGGGGAGACCAATCTAAGTAATCTTCACAAAACAGCCCTCTAAAAAGAGAGGTGTCACAATATCCAAGTGAAATACAATCTTCAATTAAGTTTATTTCTCTATTGGCCTGCATTATGTATGTGGCTGGATGGCACAAAGCCACCGTTTGCTCCTAAATGTTCTTTTCTGATTCCCTCTGATAAACATGGGAACATGATACATGTGCTCCCCAAGACCTGGCTGTCAATTCACATTTTACATTCTATATATAGTTTCAAAATCCTACTTGCAACCTTACAAACAAAATTTGTGAAGTCGCCCTGAGAGACGGTGACTTACATAGTGAGGGCCAGCTAATGAATTCATGGAAAAAGAAAGCTGGGAACTGGAGTAGCAGCTTTCTGATTTACAACAGCCCGCACTGTACAATACAGTGTCACTGAGATGAATTGAAGCATCTAACCCAAGAAAGACATCTACATTTTGCAAGCTAGCACATGTCCTTACTTACAAGATACCCTCATAAATAGCCTATCCTCTCAGCATATAAACTGCCCATGTCTTGCTACTGCTGCTCATTCACATTGTTCAGACTTTGCAATGGCATGAAGTGCACTGGATGAAATATAACTATCCTCTTCCCCCCCTAGAAAAATAAAGTCAGAATGAAAACTTCACCAATTGTTTTTGTTCTTTCCATTCTTCCTGCTGTACGGTTTCCAGAAGATTAATGGCCAACTGCTGCCTGGTAGTGCCACTATCCTCCTCAGCCAGGCAGTTCTGTACAGCTGTGGAGGATAAGATCTGCAGCGCAGGCATCACCAGGACTGGAGCCGCTGCCAGAGTTGTCCCAGTTTCAGAACAGGAAAGGAGCTTGATGGCTGAAAAGCAAGTGTACGGTTGTGCCTGGAAGTGTAAAGCATTCTGAGAAACAATGCTTGGCACTATGATAAAATACCTTGTCCAAAGGGCACTATCAGATTTTCAACCCTGAGAAGAGTCTTTAAATCTAAATGTAGATTCCCACACGCACATGGCCATAAGTTCTGGGTGGTTTTCTGACCACTCCAACCAGCACATGCCCAGCACGATTAACAAGCCACTATTAACCACCCCGCAATCATGCAAACTGGGCCTCATCCTGAAAAAACTGAAGTCTGAAAAACGCAATGCCCAGGACTTGATAAAAACATGTATTTTCAAAAATACCACATGGTATAAGCTTTTCTGGGTGCTATCATAGTTCGACCTTCAGGGAGGTCACTGCATGCACACTCAATGCTCTTTCTTATAGCAAGCATCATGTGCGGGTGGGTAGAACAAAGAGCCCAGCTGCTCCATTTCGACAGATACATTCTGGAGCGGTACAGTCTACATCTTACATTTACAAGTAGCATGGAATCAGAGCTGAAACACCTTGCCTAAATATAAACACAGAATCAAGGGTTTGCTAGTTGCTCCCGTGCACACAGATTATCATAATTACTTAAAGACTAGTAGAGAAATGCCAAAAAAAAGTATTGCTCTAAGATTCACACACTGTACAATGGACTTGCAATGTAACTTGGATTTAAAAATAAGGCTAAAATAACGTAATGTAATAAAATTAAGTAATGAAAAGCTCCTAAAACAAGAATACATAAGAGGAAATAAACTTTTTCCACAACTGTGGGCTAAATAAATAAGAAATCATGGAACATAACATGTATCCAGCCCTATTTTGTACCTCAGGAACACTTTTTCTTCAGGAGTCAGTTCCAATTAATATAATTTTTCCCTTCAAATACTTTATAGAAAAATAGTCCGATTTCTATTTTGATACACAGACTGCAGGTCTAGAAGGAGTAGAATCAATACATGTCAACTAACATTACTGAATTATTGGGGTTTAAAAAAAAAGGACAAGAGTTGGGCAGAAGGTATTCCTGCAACAAAACCTTACCTAGCATTAACATTGGCTTCTGCTGACTCGCAGGGGCCTGCAGCAAGAGCAGCCCTAATCCAATTAAGGCCATCTCAAATGGAAAACCCTAGAGAACAGGGAGGAAAGTATCCACATTGAAATCTTTTCAACCTCAAAAGTCTGTGGAAATTCACAAGCTTGACGACATTATATACACCTCCTTTTGCAAAACCCAGCCTGTTGAATACATGTGTGGCATGTTCACCAAAACCATCTTAGGGTCCCTTATCCAAGAAGGAGCTGTATATTGTTTCTTGCCTGAGTTATGCTGATAATAGGACTGGGTAAGACCAGAGAGGTTACTTCCCATGCCACCATTATACTTTCGCATGCTCTAGGAAGGAACTGTCCCTCTCGTGCAGAGTACCTTAAAGCACTGTGCCTAGATAAATGACAAGTAACTTCTTGGCAACCCTGAGCTGGAAAGAGCCTGCGTCCACAGCTCCTGGACTGCAACAGGACAGCCACTTTCTCCAATCCTCATTAGAGCAGGAGGCCAAAGCCCCAGGTATACAAACCTTGTTCAGAGAAAGCAAATGGTCCAGCCATGCAAAACTGACCTATTGTGTAAAGGAGGGGGAGAGAAAGTAGAATGACCAGATGGTCTTGCGTAATTAAAAAGAAAGGGGCAAAAAACCTCCTTGCCTGCAGCAGACTAACATCTGAAGGAGAAGTCCAGAATTCTTCTATGCTACCTCTTCCCCAACAGGGAACCTCAAAGCACAATGACTCATCCAGTCCACAATCTGCATTCCAAAACTGCATGGTCCAGAAGGATTTTGGAGGAAGTAGGGATGAGTTTGGGAATGAAGCATAGGCCTCCCATGCATAAGGCCTCTGACTCCTTGTCTGGCACCTCCAGATAGGCCTAGGAACAACTCCTGCCTGAAACCTTGTAAAGCTACTGCCAGTCAGCAATGACAATACCAGGCTTGATGGATCTGAACAGGTCTGAACAAGGTCGCTTCCTATGAACAGTTCCCAAGTGACTGGGATCTTCTAAGCATATGCTCCTTTCAAAAGGTCTGTCATTCACATTAAGCCAAACTTTCTTGTAATTAGCAAACTTTAAGCCACACACCAGTGTCATTCATACTATAGCCTGACATACTTTGTTACATACCAGGTTGTAAAATTCTTGAGGTATAAGCCATTTGGGAGCTGGGATACTAGAAGAGGGATATCAAACCTTTTTTAGAAAAAAGGTCAAATTCAGTTTTGGATAATCTCCTGGAGGGCAATTTCCAGCAGTGGATGAAGTCAAAGTTAAAAGTGGACAGGGCAAAATTAGCAGCATATTTTCACTTAAAGGTTCTTACTGCTGGCAACTAAGGCTTAGGAGAAATATTTCAACATTTCCAAACAGGAAAAATCTGTATGAAAGCTAGAAATCACCAAACCATCAGGAGAAAGGGAGTGGGCCAAGGGGGCATGGGCATCTGGAAAATGCTGGAGGACAGGGTTGGGATCCCAGGCAGGCCTAGAAAGGCAATATTTGGCACACGGGCCCTCAGTTCAGCATCCCTTTATTCAAGGCACCTTTTAAAATTCTCTGCTTCTGTATTTACAGCCTACCTCTTTCAAGAGCTCCACATTTTCTTCCATTATGCAAATTAAAGTTGAACATTCCCCTGTACTCTGTAGGCAGACTTCACAGAAGCAGAGACACTGTAGGCAGAGTTGGTGTAACTGGGCTTTCCAAAAGACAGGGTAGCGCAGCAGACTCTGGAATAGCGCCTCCAGAAAAAGCAGCATTTCTGTGACCTGGGGGAGGTCTTGTATCTGGATTAAAGGAAAGAAGCCATGCTGAAAGCTGGTTCACATTGCACCTGTGCACCACCCAATCACGGCAGCCTCCAGTAGCAACTTTTGCTGCAGATGAAAATAACACAGAGAGCTAGAATTTTCATTTAACATTTCCCAGTTTCACCTACTCAGATCAAAGCAGTCGTTGGCTTCAGTGTCATTCACAAGGATTTACATCTCCAGCATGACCACACTGAGTAGGAAAAATACAGTGGAAGAGTATAACCCTGGCAAATAACCAGAGGAGGAGAGCAAAAGGGGTTATTGTCACCCAAAAAATAGATCATGAAAAACATGACAACATGAAGATATGGTCCTCTGTAAAACAGAATACTAAGGGAGGAGGAGGAAGGGGATTTTTCAGGAGCTGAAAAAGACACCAGTGGTGGGAGTGGGGGGCCAACTCCCCATAAAGATCTAGGGTTCAAAAATGAATCAGCCAGAAAGTGTAAGAAACAGTGGGAGAAGAACTCCAGACGACACACCCCAGCAGCTGTTCTTGAGCCATTGCTCACTGAATGGAGCCACGGGGCATGCTGTAGAGTCCCTGGAGAAAAATCACAGACCATCGGCCTCATTCAGAAGGCAGAACTGCTTTAAGGGATGAAGGGATACTACAGACACAATTCCATGCCAAGTTTAGATGGAAAAAAAGCCTGTCTCACATGCATGCCACAGTCGGCACTGCAGGTCTGTTTCTTCTGCCTGCCTTTCGCACAGTATCACACCTTATTGTATGTTCCACACAGGTCATCACAATGCAAAAGGCAATCAGATTCCTTTTCACAGACCCTAGTATTGCAGGCACCTGCTTAAAACTCCTACTCAGCTATTAAAAAGTGAAGAAACCCTGGCCTTTCTTGCATCTAGTCATGTCTTCTCTCACCTCATTCTAGGATAGCAGATATCCAGCAACCAACCTGTTACCTCAAGTGCTCAAAACAATAAACAGCCTCTGTTCACAAATGAAGGATTTTAAAATATGTGTCCCCTGATCCTCCTCTGACAGGGGTACCATCTTTACCTCAGCTAGACAGCCATTTTAAAATATGACTTATTTTAAAATTACATCCATTTGTTAAAATTCTATCTATCATCACAGGTACATGCCACCTTTTAGGCAAAGGACTCCCAAAGCAGGTTATATGAATAAATCTTTTGCAGTGCAATACCCGACTGTGTACTCTTCCCTCCAAGGCTCTTCCATAAAGTGAAGCAGAGGGAGCTGCCTCGGACAGCAAATGCTGAGTGGGGGCCAGTGGCAAGGTGCTGGAGGACAGAGCTCTGGGTGCCACCTGTCCCTCCCTCTGCCTCCTAAGGTAGCCTGCTGTTCTCAGCAGCAGCAAAGGATGCTGTGCCTCCACCAGAGCTGATGATGTGCCCTGGTGGCCAGCAAGAGACAGTCCTCACCTGACAGTATGGAACCAAGTCACAGAAGAGCTGAAGGAGCTCACACTCAAGGACGGGGGGCTCCTCTTTGTTCCAAGGACCACGAGGCTGCAGCAAGACCCTAAGCAGACTCATTCGTAATTCGGCATGCTCCCGTACCTGGCAGGGCTCACAGTATAGGTACCTGAGAAATGGTCTCATTATGGAGACATATGAGCTTTCCAAGCTGCAGATGAAGCAAAGAATTTGATGACATTATGTACAAGCTGAACCACAATAGAGCAAAAAAAAAAAAAAAACAAGTGGTGTTTTCATCACAGGTTCTATAGATGTTGATCTAATTCAGAAATATGTCAATGTAGCAACTCTGCACTTGGAAATCTTTATATTTGTCAAAAAACTGAGAATTAGGGTTGCATCCACGGGTAGTTTTACATGAGTGGGAAGCACTGGTTACAAAGGCCACACGTCCAATCTGCTTATTCCCAAAGCTGTCACCTCCACATACTTCATTATATCATACACTCTTTCAGAGGGTCTCCCAAACCTCAGAAGCATATTTTAGGGCTACAGGGAGCTGCAGGAAAGAGGGACTCAAGTAAACATCACATGCCCTGCTTTGCAAGAGAATAAGCTATTTCTGTTAGTATAAATGCACCACTGCTTACAACCCTTGGAATATATTATGGGTGGGGGGATGAATGGGTGAGATTACCACATTACAAGACAGAGCAGCTGCCAAGTGACAGTTTTATGTGATTCCCCCTTGTCATTAAAGAAGTGGAAGGATGCTGGATTGTGCTGCTAAGTTTTGTACAATGAATAGCAGCAAGAATTGGGGGTGCTGGCTCCCTATAACCTAAATAATACATACTGCTTTGCTCTTGCTTCCTGGGCTTTGATTTATGGAAAAATGATACGCATATTAGTTTCTAGTCATGAGGAGGAGAAACATGCTTTCTTGTTTCATTTCTGAAGCTTAAATTCAAACAAGAACCTACAGGACACAAAAGGTGGGTTGGGGATTGCATGTTGCCTAAGCGCTGTTGATTTATCTTCTACTCTCAGTTTAATTAAAAAAGATTCTGCTTTTTCTACCTTTCTGGACACTGCTGGAAAAATGCTGTAATCTGCTGCAGGAGAACTGGCCAGCAATCAGGTCTGTTTTCAAGAACAGTGATCAGGGGTTGAGGAGAGTTTCTAGGAGAAAAAAATGTAACAAACATAGTGGAATATTTAATTTAATAATTTAATAAAACATGTTTATACCATCTTTTCACTAAACATCTCAAGAATATGCACGTATAAGTAAATTACAAACAAATGCAACTGTAGATGCCTCATTTAAAATCTGTTGCATGCAATCTACAGCACAAGTATATATTACTGCAACTGTATACAACAATGTATTGTACAGAACTACTCCTATGTTGACCTATATCACTGGGGGAAGGGGCCAGTGTCAGAACCCTGTTTCCCACAATCATTCTTATGGAAATGGTTGGCTCCTTGCTGCCCATCACAGTGAGGGCTGGGCAGACACTCTGCCTTTCCAAAATACTGTGATCCTGGCCACATACTGAGATGTTGTGTGCCAAAATCATGCTTGAATGGCCCCAAAGTATCATCTTCAGCATGGGTCCTCAAACTATGGCCCATGGGCCAGATCCGGCCCACCATGCTCATTTATCCGGCCTGCCTCAGAGGTTTTGGATCGCCCAGAGAAAACGATCTCTGAGTGAGTCCAAAAGCTCTGAGCCGACGCAGGCAATCTTTGAAACTGAGCAGAGAGCCAGTGCATGCGCCAAATTGCAACAGCTCAACTGAGCGTGCGTCGGCTCTCCACCCCCCCCCAATTGCACACATACAGAGCAGGAATATAGAGCAGGAAACAGAAGAGAAAAGGGCAGGAGAGAGAGAGAGAGAGAGAGACGAAGACACTGAAAAAGGATTGAAGGTAAGAAAAACATAACTTTTAAAATCTATTTTTAATTATGTGAGCCACGTCCCCGGGCTACAGGCCTTCTCCAATTTATTTATTTATTTATTTCTATTTATATCCTGCCTTTTTCCTACAAGGGGCTCAAGGCAGCTTACATCTTCTCCTCCTCCATCTTATCCCCACAACAACAACCCTGTGAGGTAGGCTGGGCTGAGCATCTGTGACTGGCCCAAAGTCACCCAGTGGGCTCCATGGCTGAGTGGGGACTCGAACCCAGATCGTCTGAGTCCCAATCCCATGCTCTTCACCACTACACCACACTGGCTCTCCAAGTAAGCTGTGGCCACCTCGCTGAGCCCAGGGCGGACAGGCTGAGGCAGAGCGGGGCTGGGGCTCCTGCACCTCTGCTGTGGCCTTCTCTGAGCTAGCAAGCAAACATTTTTAATTGTTATTTTTAAAATGTTAATTTTACATTTTATCTTATTTTAATTAATTTTTAATGTGCAGTGTGCATAGGAATTTGTTTTTTTTTTTTCAAACTATAGTCCAGCCCCCCCACTGCCCCCCCAAGGGACAGTGAACTGGCCCCCTGTTGAAAACATTTGAGGACCCCTGATCCACAGAATCCCACCATCAGCAAGCACAAAAGGACACCTGTGCTACTTGACAAGATACTGACATACTGAGCACAGGTAATGACTAGAGCAGCAAAAGCATGATCTCGAGAAAATCTCATATGCCCTAATTCTAGGGCTCTCCACAAATTAGAGTTACCCTTTAACTAAGCACAGGGTCAGCCCAGGACATCTGATTGCCTAAGGCAGAAGAGTGAGCAGAAACCCACCCAAGTAACCAACCATGTTATTTAGGCACCCAAGACCGAAAACACCACAAGCACCTCTTCTTATCCCGGACAACAAAATACACCAATGACAAATGAAGAAATTAACTATGTGCTGCCCTTTCAGGACAACCCAAACGTGGATTTTAGGGTTGGCTAGCCATAGGCATTCATAGGTAGTCATGCTGCTGTGAACCACCCAGACACTCTGTACAGCCCAAGTAGTACTGCAACAGTCCCTAGCAGAACAAAGATCGTTCTTCACAAAGGCTACAACAAAAGCGGACAAAAGTGCAACCTTCAGTTCGCCCTAATCCCTGATATGCCTCTTTGTCTACAGGAGAGCAACAATTTGATTTACATTGTAAATTCAGTAACTGGAAGATCAGTTTCGGTGTACAAGGGAACAATGCCATGCATTTTCATGTACCAAGCTATGACCCCAATCCCCTCAGCAACATAGCAATTCACTTTACAACTTTACATGTGCATTTCAAATATTTTCCTTCCTGCCTTGAATTTTAATTCCATTATCTGGTAGTAAGTCAAGGGAAGAGATTGGTTAGATTAAGAAGCCTTCAAATACCAATACTAGTACATACCTAGTAAACAATACAGAAATTGTCATCGGTGTCATCTTAGTATGTATGTAAATTTTATACCATTTCATATACATTTTTTGCCTTCTAGATAAAGCAGAATGGAGGGGGAGGGAAGGAGGCTAGGGCATCATTTGGATATGACATTGGATTAGCTGACAGTCCTAGCCTTCTCCCCATTCCAAGCACCAGCATGCCCCTTTAAACCTCTCTGAGGCTGATGCCAACCCCACAGAGGGAAAGGACAGAAGACCTCAATGTTGGGACACTAAATCATCCTATCCCCCTGCCCCCCACCCCCAACAATTTCCAGAAGCCATAGGACTGCACACTTAATATCCCATTATTCAGGAACTTGCAGGGTGGCAGATGTGGGGAGATGCAACAAAGATATTAGATGGTTTAAGACTGCCCAATCAATTAATGATGCTTACAACAATGGAACCAAGGACTACATGCCCTATGGCAGGATGAGAGATATCAGTGACACCGAAGGCTACACACTTGACCACTACACTATGCAAGCCTTTACTGCACTGAAAGTAGTTACAACTAACCATACCAAAGTCAAGCCAAGCCTCAGTGCACTATGAGGGGAAAAAAGACAAAATCTGCAGTTGGGCTATGCTTTTAGTAGGACCACCCAAAGTGCCACCAAGGATTATGCAAGCTCTTGCGTTTCCCAGAATTCTTTATTAGGCTAGTTGGTAAAATAGCAACAACAGGGGTTGTTACTGTGCTCTCCGTCCCAAGAAAGCCCACGGGCACACTCCTATGCATGCTGAGACAGAATAAAAAGGCCTGCAGTTCCAGGCATGCCCCAGCCAACCATGCCTTTCTTGCCTGAACACAAATAGGATTGTGCCCTAAATGGTTAATTCTTGGATTTCCGAAAGACTTTGAGCAGGGGAAGGGAAACCACAAGAAAATGAATACCTCGCTTATGGATAGCCACAAAATGTCTGGTAACACAATGCTGGAAATGGAAACAAGTGTCACTTATTACAAATTGGGGGAATAAATGGGGCATTACTAGTAGTCTGAAGTTGGCACATACTGCATATAGAAATAGCGGGATTAGAGATTTTAGGAACTTGGAAGACTTCTACAAATGTCAGTCTTGGAGCAGACCTACAGGAAATATTGGATATAGTTGGGTTGAGATGATGATACACTTATGGATATGAGACTTGACAGCACATAAAAGGAAAAATTTTTGTGGGTTATTTATTACAGTCAGTACAGATATGTATGACACAATAAATACATTTATCTGTATTTTAATCATTTAGATTGTACTGTATTGATTTAACCATGTACGATTCTTGATATGGTAAGCATATTTAACATTTCTAAGAGACCTTTATTTATACCAAGCAGTGCAATGGCAGAAAGTACAATTTCTTCTCTATCTGATGAAATTCTGCTCCATTTATTTTTACTATTTCCAGAAGTAGCAATGTTTGTTGCTTCAAAACCCAGATATTATCATGTAGCACCTTAAAAGGCCAAAATATTTATGATGGCAAAAGATTTCATGAACTGCAGTTCACTTCACTGATGATGCAGACTCTATTCCATTAAAACATATGCCATAGCAAATGCATTGCTCCTCAAGATAGCACAAGACATATTTTTATTTTACAGGATTCCATATAAAAGCATTCCTATGAACCCTTGACAGTGTCTTGAGAGTCACAGAATTACTTGGATCTGGAATTATTTCCAGATCCAAGATGGCACAAAAATTCCAACTTTGGGTCTGGCTATCCCTGCTCAGACTGCCACCTTCACAGAAAGAACTGTGTTGACTATGTCTCCAGGATCATATGGGCAACCTTGGAGAAGAGGTGGAAGACATTCCTGGACAGGAGTAGCAAGGTGGATGTCACATCCACGTTCCTCCTGTCCTGCACACGAGGCCCATAATTCCCTGAGTTTCAAAGGTTATGAGCAGCCCTGTTGGACAGCACCCATAATAGGTCAGCACCAACAATACAGATTGGGATGCAAGGTCATACCAGGAGGGCCTTTATGTGCCATTCTGCATCTTCCCACTATAATCAAGTGAGTGGGGGGGGGAGGGGGGGAGAGAGGGGGAGGGAGAGAGAGAATTACACTAAACAGCTAAACAGAAGTTGCACTTCGTGGAAAAACAGAACAAAGGCCTTTAGAACAAGGGCAGGGCGCTGCATTGGAGTGGGAGGCCAAATGACTCACCAAACAGTCTTCGGCGGGCTGAATGACATAGGGGAGTAAGGTGACATGGAGCTGATGAGCAATCTTTGCTGGCTGCATCCTCTCCATGAGATGGGAGTTCTCCTCCCCTGCTTTAGAATCACCCGCCCCGTAGAGACACTTCATAACCAAAACTATGCTCATCGGTTCAGAACAGCACTGGGCATCTTGCCTGGAAATCTGGACCATTTGTTTTGTGCAGACATGGAGTACATCTGTGGTGGCCTTTTCCAAGTTTCCATGACTCCTCAGTAAGAAACCTCTACCACTGCATCTGAAGTACTCTGGCATTTGATCTGATCCAGCACAGCTATTCTAATGCTCATCTCTATATACCATACAACAATATATGCAGAGCAAACAATATGTTACAGCACTTCTGCAACTTTTTCCACATTCAAGCTCAGCTTTGGACAGCTGACCAGGAAAGGAAGCTCTAGAACTCTGGTATAGCCAACTAAGGCTCCCGTTTCCTCCTTGTGGTAGACACTGAGTACTTTAATTGTAGGGTTAACATGGCACTAAAAGTAGAACTTAGGACTCAGATGTAACAGAAAGGATGGAATTCCATGTGAAATTTGGACCCAAGTTATTTTAAGATTTTATCTACTAGCTGCTTGCATCATGCCTGAGATGCTTCATAAACTTGGTTAGAATGCAAGTTCTCCCTAAATTGGCCACATTTGCAAAAGGAGGACGGCTTTCATTTTAAGGCCCTAAACTATAACATGTGTACTTTATTTCCTTCAAACTGAGAGGGTGCATCTAAAGCAATGGCTCTTTCATAGCCAAATTAAGCAAAGCCAATTTTATTGTAATTTTAGCAACCAGACATCATATAATTTCGTTCTTAAAAGTCTCCACAGGTACCTGCAATGTACATGTTACTTCTACCATTCAAAACAGCATGCATAATTGGAGCAATTTAAAGTATACCTGACTGCATATGACTCTGACAGTTGTTCCTCTCCACTTTTTGCCACCTTCAGGGACTGTCTCTGTAGTAGTTTTACTATGATTTTTATCAAACCTTGCACATTCCTGTCAAAAACACAGTGAACGCATGTAAAAATCAACATTATTCTGCAGGAAGAATGGCCAGCACCTCACTTCCTAGTCTAGAACCAGTTGTGAGTGTCATTAATGCCACATGCAACATAACCCATGATGAGCTACTGAGCAAAGTTATATAGCCAACCTCCACCTGGGGATAGCTGCGTAGTGTGAACCCAATGAGGGTAGGTTTTGCAAAGGTTAAACAACCCTCATATCATCTTAAAATAGACCATGGGTTACACAAGCATTGTGTAATCCTTGCATAATCCATGCTCACCAGGTTTGCATGAAACAACAACCCCTGAACAAGGGTTATGTATTCAAAATGGTGGTTGCACACACTCTGCATTCACAGCAACCTCACTAAAAAGAGAGAGAGAGAAATGTTTTCAAATTGAATGGGCCCCCACATTTTTTTACAGTTCAGGTACTGCCACATTTGACATAAAACTTGGCAGTTGCCCACAGTATGATTTTTCCTATCTGCTCTGCCCAAGGCAAGTGGGCAGCTGGGTTCTGTCTCTACAGCTGGTAGACAGCTGACCCCTAGTTGCCTCTAGATCAAGGATCACTGTTTTGCAGAGGACCTACACTCAAAACACCCACTATGAGTAGCACATATGACAATATCCAACATCAGTGCCAGAAGCGAGCAATTCACAGCCTGCATATGGCCTGCCAGAGACACAGCCACTTTCCCCAGCAGCACAGGGAGTGAGAAGGATGGCTGCTCTGGGCACTTGTTCTCATGTCTGTAATGCAGAAAATTCCAAACTGGAATGTGAAGCAGATCAAAGGGGAACTGGGAGAATGGGACATGCCAAAACACTGAGATGAGGGTGGTCTCAAGGCTATGCAGCTCTGGAGGGGACTCTGGGAATGAGGGATTCTCAGATGGAGACCAGGCGCCCTGGCTCTTGACCCCATGATGAGGCGTCAGCAGAGGTGGGCAGCCCAATTAAATGGCCAGTGCATGGAGAGTAGGCATGTTCCCTTTCAGAGAGCCCTTCCTGAAAGAATGGGACCCATGCATTATGTTCATAAAGAGAATTCCTGGAGGTAAACACTAGATTGGGTTCAACAAACCACTCTATACATGCTCAGAGGTTCATTGTGGGTGATTTGTGCTTGGGTTTAAATAAATAAAATAATATTAATAAAATAAAATAATAAATATATAATAAATAATACAATACAATTGCAAAATAAAAAACATTTTGTAAGGAAAATGGTCTATGGCTTTGAAATCCCAAATGAGGTTCCTTTGGCTTGTAACAGCTGCTCTGGGCCATGCATTACAGCTGCTACTAGCTATCCTGATTATAATCAGGATTAGCGGGAATAGGTGCTAACCTGATGGCACTCCCAGCAATCCCAATGCAGAGATATTTGTTTCTTCCCTGTTAATAGCAGCAAGGGGAAAGCCACCTGGATCAGAACGGCTGACGGAGGAGAGGGAGGCTATTAAAACCCCCACTGACTAGTGATTCCATTTCCTGACCCAAAGTCAATTCTATTTGTATGTGCTGAGAGGTGAAGGGGGAGTGTCTTTGTACACATCCACATGTGTGCATGCAGCTATTTGTACACGTAGTCCCCAGCCCACCACTCAGCACCGCATTCAGCCCTTGACACCGAAAAGGCTAAACACCACTGAACTTGCTCAGGGCATGCTAGGCAGGCCAGTTCAAACAAGCGTGTTGTCCTCATCCATTAACCCCAAATGCTTAAGTACATCTGAAGGCATGCCATGCTTTCAAGTCTTCAATTGATTTGACTGCCTGCAGACAGTAGGTTGTTCCCGTTTCTGAAACGGCAAGTGAAAGTACATGATTCCTTAGTAAAGGAAGGTTAGTGCCTCAGAGCTGCTCGAGGGCTTGGAAGGTAGAGGGGTGTTTTTTCTTCTGACTGCAGCTAGGCAGGCATGAGAAAATCCAGTTGAGAATGTAATTTTGTGAAAGTTAGAAGGGGTGAAAAAAATGTTTTGAAAGGTACGCATCTTGGAAAGTCTGACTCTGGGGTCACTACAATGACCCTATAATACAGCACAGGTGAAAAACCAGATTACTGGCCTTGAGCAAGAAAACAACCCTACAAAAAGTGCAGGAAACCTGCACTCAATTATGATTTGGCTTCACTGTAACGGTTCTTCCTTTCATCCATTACCTATTTACATTGATCCCTCACCTCCGCCATCACACACCTTACCCCAATTTACAAACACAAGGGGGTGGAGGATGCAAACGTTTATTTTTGGCTGGCTTCCACAAAAGGAGCCCCCAGTTAGAGCTTGACAGAGCACTGAATGTGTGCACAGCCATTTCTGCAGAACCATTTAGATATTCTTCCCACAAATAAAAGAAAGCTGCCAAGACAAGAAGGGTTCAGTGACTTTTCTATTTACAGCAAAGTTCTAGGTTGATGCTTAAATAATGCTGATCATTATTTAATTCCTCACAAAGCAGTTACATAATTAATTTCAATTAGTCAATCTTTATTGTGTGGACACAGACAACACATAAGTAATTTACTGATCTTCATGAAAAAAAATGTGGCATACAACTGTGATAAATTAACAGAGGTGAGGAACAAGCAATATTTCTATGGAATCTCTTGGAATCCTGGCCTTCAAGTGAAACTAAACCTTCACTGCTCAGTGTGACAGGGAAAACCTGGACAATTCAACTTTAGGAAGTCCAGTGGACAAATCATAGAAATTCCAGACAGTCTAAACTGCCCAAAAATGGCAAGTAAAATTCACAATTTCTAAGTCACTACTGGTAAATAAAATGTTAATCCATGATTCAGGTCCCAGGTGTGTGTGCGTGTGTGCGCGTGTGCACGTGCACAGTGGCAGAAGAGGGAGAGGATGACTGAGGTTCTGCTATATATTTTACTTTTATGTATTTTAAACTTGTTCTCTACATGTTCACCACCCAGAGAGTCATGCAGGGCTATAGGGTAGTACAATTATGTAATTAATTAATTAACGAATGATTCTGAACTACTGAGACAAGCCACATTAGAACCCCTCGCCCATTCCACTTAGGCCCAGAATGAGGGGTGGGAGACGGACAAGGACCAAACTATGGGCAGCTGGCAGAAAGAGAGGGTGTCTTCCAGGGAATCCTAGTGTGCGAGATCAGGACCCAGGCGAATCCTGCTCTTGAGAATCAGTGTAGCTGTGAATACCAAAACTTGCAGGAAAAACCTGCACTAAATACATATGCTCCAAACTTTTTTTAATGTTGGAAAGACACAGCACAAGTAACATAACCAACCATTACCTGGCAGAAGGAATCAGGTTGAGAGCTCCATTAAGAACGTAACTTGGCTCTGCATGATCCTGGGAAACAAGTGCCACAAGCGCCTCACAGCACGCCGTCCTGACAACCACATTGTCGCTGCAGCAATTTTCCCACAGCAAGTTTAGGGCAGGAGTCTGTAATCAGGGAACATGGGAAAAACAAATTCAGTCTTGCAGAACTACTGACCTGTCAGTACAATGAAACCTCACTCCGGTGTCTCCCTTTGAGCATCTGAGCAAATACCAGGGTGGGGGTTTAAATGCACTTTAGCCTCCAAGAAAGCAAAGGCCATGCTTCCCCAACCTGGTGTCCTCTGGATGGGTTGGCCTGCAACTCCCATCATTCCCATGCCCGGCTGGTCTATGTAGCGCCAAATTTTTCCAGAGAGCATGAAATGATAAAGCACCCCCATCCCCTACAGAAGGCTGCTTGACTACCATTCAGCCATGAAGATCGAGTGTTACTGGGGCTGGTTCTCAACCCTGGCCTGCCAAAACAAAAGCAAAACAGGGAACGCGAGAAACGCAAGCAAGAACACAGAGAAACAAACCTGGTTAGAGGACTGGCTTATCTTGTTGGATGAAACATTTTCTTTCAGCACTGCAGCAATCAGATGGCCCACAGTCTGTGAAGGAAACATAAATCACTGGGTTCTCTCCGTTACTCTTGCCTGCAGCGAGACATTCTGCTGTCCCAGGTGGCTGCACGCCGTAATCCAAGGGAGGGGCTTCAGCAGAATCGGAGAGGATGGGCAGCCCATGGCTATGCACAATCCCAGCATCTCAACATAGCATCTTTGGTGCTTTCGCATGGGACCCTGGAGTGCATCAAGGTAATCTGGAATGTACAGCGACCGCAAATAATCGCTCTTTGATTGCTTGTGCCCTTACTTGCACTAGCCCTCGCTGCCTGGAACACACTTTCAAAAATTAAAGCTGGTGGAGGGACCACAGTTCAGAGGCCAAATACATATATATGTTAGTATTTCAACTGCCCAATAATACAATAACTCCTCTGGCTGCTATACAAGCCATTGTTTTCATAAAAGTTAAACTAGAGAACAAGGGGTGAGATTGCATGTCACAATAACCTCCCCCAGCCCAGCAATATGCCATGGTGGTTTGGTTGTTGTGTGAACAACCAAATGAGGACCCAACAGACTGTTGGAACAGCTGTTTGTTGTTCATCCCTCCTTCCACCTCATTCCTCCGCAGGCACCCCAGGACTGACTTGTCTGCCCTCCTCTCATTGCGATCCTGAGTTCTTTTCGGGCACTTGTGGCACTTGTGGGGCAGCTGGGACAGGCAGTGGCCTGGCTGAGCTCGGCAAGAGCAGCAACTGGGCTTTGCCACTTTTGCAAGAAGCTTGCCAGCAGCTTCCCATACCCCAAATGGGATGCAACCCCTGAAAAGAGCCTCTTTCTTATGGCCACCTGCCTTGTCTCATTGGCCACTGGCACCAGTTGGAAGGCCTCGTGTGTTTACCCTCATGTCCATGTGGCTAAATATGAAGAGATATTTCTTCAGTTAGCTCAGTTACCTTTAACGACTTCAAAGGTTAGATCCAGGGATTTGAATTGAGCCCAGAAACAGACTAAGAGCCAGTGCGGTGTAGTGGTTAAGAGCACGGGACTAGGACTCAGAGGATCTGGGTTCTAGTCCCCGCTCAGCCATGGAGCCAACTGGGTGACTTTGGGCCAGTCACCGACTCTCAGCCCAACCTACCTCACAGGGTTGTTGTTGTGGGGATAAGATGGAGGAGGAGAGATGATGTAAGCTGCCTTGAGCCCTTGGTAGGAAAACGGCAGGATATAAATTGTAATATAAATAAATATAAATAAGTTCTGGCATAATCACATATTACGGTTTGATCAAAAGTTTGATCCCTGGCATCTCCAGTGTAAAAAAAACGCAGGGAGCAGGTAACAGGACAGATTTGTGCTTAACGCTTTGGAAAGAAACTGCTAGTTCAGGTAGCTTGTTCTGGGCTGGATGGACAAAGATACCAGCTTAGACGTTGGCAGGTCCCTAATTTCCTAAAGCTATAAAGCAGAGAACTTCACTGTGATTCTGTTAGGGGGAAAAATACGCAATGGCTTACAACAATCTTCCCCATCCTGGTGCCCTCCGGATCTCTTGGATCACAACTCCCATTATACCTGCCCTAGCCATGCTGGCTGGGGCTGATGGGGGCTGCAGTCCAAAACATCTGGAGGGTGCTCATTGCAAGAAAGTTGTCTTACAAACAAGCCACTGTGGTGGCATTAGAAGATTCTTTTCATCTTGTTCCTTTGTACCAAACATGAAGGAATGAGTGAGCTCCCACACCTGCAAGAGAGCTTTTCCAACCATTTCATGAACGCACCTGTCATTTAAGATTGCAAAGCTCAGCCTTTCACAGTTGAGGGGTTTATGTTTTATTATTGAGCAAAATGCCTATTACCAAGTGTGGTATACATAGAGTGCATGTATTTAAATAAGACACTCTCCCCACTTGCAGATGTATGAATCTGATATCTATCAAAGAACTCATCACGGAAGAGACATCCTAAAGGCATCGGCCATCATCAAAATTTAACAATCACATAGAGAAAGACGATTCACAGAAGCAGATTTACCACAATTCCACATGACTTCAATGTGTAACATAAATCTGAACTCCCTTGTAACATGGATTTGCACATAGTGAAATCATATCCATACACTAGTGGACACACAGAATACCCTGGACATCAGCCTGAACAACTCATATGAAGGCTTCATCCACCAAAGAATGGCTTGAAGTCATCCAGGGTAACTCCATCTTCCAATCTAGAGAACAGTGAGATTACCAAGAGACACCTTATCAATGCACTCTTAGCTGCTAGGAGGTCACTATGGAAAACAGGAGATTGGAAGGGATGAGGCCACTGGTCTGATCCAACAGAGTAACCCTATATTCCTATCATTATGCTGTTTGCCACATCCTGTTTCCAAGAGGTGGGGAATTTCAGTGGCGCCAACTCAGACTTCAGTTTCCTAAGAATGAGGGCAATAGAGGCTTGTGGCTTTTTTAAATAAAAGGTTCCCTTACACAGAGCTCAAGATGAGGTTTCCAGTCTGCTGGCCCCCGGTACCATTAAATAAAGACTACCAGCTGCCCAGGTATTTCTCCAGGCATTGCAAGTCACCTTTCTTCTACCTTTTCTGTTCAAAACTCATCAGCCTGACTTCTGTTCCCTGCTGCCCAATAGAACAAAAGTTATTAACATAAGAGCCACAGAGAAGCAGGCAGGGGTGAATCCCAAATCACTATGTAATCAGAGGCCCTGAGTTACAAGGGCACACACAAGGTCATTTAGACTGACCCCAAGCAGAGAACACTATATAGGAAGTCAGGATTTGCCATGAAGTTCTATACATACCTCTTCAGAAGTTACTCCCTTTGAGTTTGTTAGATCTTAGGTAGGTAGATATGGGATTGCAGCATAAAAGGGGGAATTAAAATAAAGTCTCTTTTGACCTTCAAGTAGCAAACAGGACATAAAGTGCTGCTTCCTGGGTTTTACTAGCCAGGTGTAGCAACAAGATCCTTAGAGAGCTCTTTCAAAAATACAATTCTGCAACTGCAATTCAAATGTTTGCAATGATTTCAGAAGCTTCAAAGGGGGTGAAGAACTACAAGTTCCAGTGTACTGAGATGACTGATGAAATGCATGTTTAAATGCATGTTTAAAAAAATAGTTAGAAGTCAAAAAGAAAGCTACTCACCTGTGACTGTATCAGAGTGTTAGGAAAATCCAACCTTTTTCTGATTTCTTCAGACATGGCTGTTTCTTTCACCTACAAGCCATTCAGCTTCTGCAACAAAGATAATAAACTACACTGACAAAGAACAGATGTGCAGTAGAAACATACACACCGAATAGCTACTCACATTGAATTCTCCCTGCCCAGTATCTAGCTATTCAGCAGACACAATCCACAAAGTATCATATCACTGTTCTACTGCTGGCCCCCAAACTATTAAACATTTTCCTTCTTCCTGTTTTGGCACACCTCTGAATCTTTTCTGCTCCCCCCCCCCCCCCAGATACTCAGGAAAGCATTGGAAAAGCACCTAAATACTGAGGTGGGCTTGAGGTTGAAAATGCAGGATGAGAGGGCAGGATGCTATGATGCAGAAAGAAAGGGAAGATGGCAGTATCAAACTGATGACCACTCCATCCTGCTGGGATTATGTCCTTCTGCCATCTGTCCTTCTAGAAGGATGCAATCCTACACATATTTAGACAAAACCAAAGGCCTACAACTGCCAGAGCTCCCAATACAAGTTTGGCTGGCTGGGGAATGTCAGGAATTGTAAGCCTTATTCCTATCCAGCCATGCATATTCTACTCTTAATCAGACCACAGACTTCTCTAGTGGTCAGTCTAAATGATCAAATTGTCATAAGGAGAACCAGTCACATGCATGGCAAGAAGAGTTAGTTGACATATCACAGTGGTAGATTGTTCAATCTGACAGTCTGGAAGTTGCCAACTCCTAATTCCAGCACCTCTTTGCTCTCTTGCACATCCCTTAAGACTTGGGGCAATAGATCTACCACAGATATAGATCACAGTCTCAGAAAAATTACTCACAGGTGAGACAATTGGTGCACATTGCCTTATAGCTTCACCTTGGTTCCTACTGCAAATTGGAGCAGATAAACTAGCCAGGATGGAAAAGCTTAGTGTTATGTCTGTTGTTCCTCTAATAAGCAAGGATGCAGATGCCAAGTGCAACCCCTGGCTTCAAACTCTGGCTTGAGGGCAGACAAGCTATGCTTCTGGGTACAGACCCAGCACTAGGGTTTTTTGACAGGACATGTTCCTAATTACAGAAGACATTCCCAGTTGCAGAAACCATCTGGAGCAATCAAACAGCATGTGCCAGCATCCTCGCTCATTACCAATACTTGTTACCAATCCTAAGATATTCTGCCTTATTTTTATATGCAAACATGCCCAGACTTTTTCACTGATATACGGTTGAAATGGTCATGCTCTACAACTGCTTTCCAAATGTGTAGCACTAGAATGCTCAGTATCCCTGAGTCAACTCAAGGATTGGGAGTTGTAGTCCCAACATACCTGGAAGGTACCAGGTTGAGGAAGTCCGCTCAGTGATGCTGTAGAAACCTGAGCAGTTCTTCTGATTCTGGTGACTTGTTTCCTCCAAAGTCAGGAGCAGGACATCCAGTCATAGTCTGTTTCGCAAAGACACAAAGGTACAGCTGAACTTGATGACTTGTACTGCAATGATAGAGCTATACAGGTATCTAACAACTACTGCAAAATCAAAAAACCCTATCCATTCAACCACATCTTTGATCACAATTATGCTGCTGGTGCTAACTATGAGTCATGACCATCTTCTATGAATGGATTGGCCATCTTCTGAAACCTTCCCTCCATTTGCACTTTTTTTTCTGGCCAGAACTTGTAGCACAAGCAGTAAAAAGCTATAGCACAAAATCCAACCAAATAATATCAATCAGAATTAGTGGAAAACCTATCAACATAACCATCTTTCAAGTCTATGCTCCAACAGGAGATGCTGAAGAAGAAGAGATCAAATACATTTATACAGGTGTTCAAGAGGAAATTGGTAACACACCAAACAACACATGCTGCTAATGGTAGGTGACAGAAATGTAAAAGTAGGAAACAAAGCAGAATCACATGTTGTAGGAAAATAAAGCAGCAAAAGAGCAGAACATTTTGCGAAGCCAGCAACCTGTTCACTGCAAACACACATTTCAAGCAACTGCTCAGACAACTGTATACATGGACTTCACCAGATGGCCAATACAGAAATCAAATAGATTATGTCACTGGCAGCAGACAGAGGAGAAGCTGCATTCTCGCTGCCAGAACAAGACCAGGAGCATGCTGCAGTAATGACCATCAGCATTTAATTTCACAAATCAGATTCAAGCTTAAAAAGATCACAAAGAGAAACATAGTATCAAAATATAACTTAGGGTCAAGTTATAATATATGTATAACTTCAGTAAAATCCCTTTAGAGTTTAAAGTCTACATAAAGAACAGATTTGCATTGTTGAACTTAATTGTCAGAATAACTGACTGAATGACACCATGGCTGATGGTGTCAAAAGCCTCTGAGAGGCTGGAAAAACACTGTAATAGTGCTAGAGGAGAACTTTGCATTTACCCTGGGCCAAAAGAAAGACAGACAGTGGGTCCTAGATCAAATCAAGCCAGAGATTTCTGTAGAAGCAGAAATGACAAAACTGAGGCTGCCATACTTCAGACACATCATGAGAAGGAAAGACTCTCTGGGAAAGACAGTCATGTTAGGGAAAGTTGAAGGCTGAAGACAAAAGGGAAGACCAATTATGAGATGGACTGAATCCATTAGAATGTAGTTGTCATTAGAGGTCTTTCATTCATAAAGTTGCTATAAGTTGGAGATGATTTGACAGCATATAACCCCAACAACAAAATACCTCTAACTGCAATCCTCTGAACTTGCTCCATTTTGTCCAAATCCCAAAACTGGACATAGTACTTCACATGAGGTCTGAATAGTGCAGAATAAAGTGAAAATACGAATCCATTAAAATCATGTTAGTCCCTTCTGTAATCTGATTCACAGATCTTGATAGACTACAGACCTAAAATTCAGGTATACTACTGCCCACTCATTCTATCACTATGCATTTAATTTTGTTGCCTATTCAAATATAATCAATACATCAATGCTACAAATGCCAACAATACTACGACTCTATGAGCTCTGATTAGGTAGCAGCTGCCTTCTACTTCCTCTTCCTGAACTATTTTCATCCCAAATGAAATGCAAGGATCTTCAAGTCAGCTCTGGAAGCCTTTTCAGCCAAAGTACAGAGCCAAAAGTTTATTTAAATAAATAAAACCAATAAACACCTCCACTTCCTTATGCACACCCACACTTCCATACCAGAAAAGCCATCTCTTCCCGTATATGCCTGCCTTCAGAGGCTCTCCACTGGGTGTACCCTCAAAATTAAATGGGGTCGGTGGCTACTAAGGAGCCAGCCTTTTCAATCATGGTACCCCAGCCATGAAATACCCTGCCCAGAGAGGTTCACCCGGTCCTAAACTGTAGTCTTTTTGGTGACAAATAAGAACTTACTTATTCTTCTAGCTATTTTATTTTTGTATTTATTGAAAGCATTTGTATACATCCCCTTTAAACAAAAAAAGTACCCAAGGGGGTTTACAAAGATAAAAAATGACACAATCTTTGACACAATCAATGTAAGTCATTGATACAGTCAATCTTACAGTTTAAAAGACATGACACACAAGGACAAAGCACTGGGAGGGAGAAGGAAAAAGCAAATTCAGATACTAGCTTCTTAGTTGCAAAGCAGTCACAGGCACAGTGGAGGGGCTTGCTCTCCCTCTGATGGCCTCAGCAGTGATGGCAGCAAGAGGGAAGGGGCTCTCAGTAAGACACTGGTCCTCAAACTATGGCCCGGGGGCCAGATCCGGCCCACCATGCCCATTTGGACCCACTGTGCCCACGCATGCGCCCGCCACCGCTGCTCACCTCGCCCCGCGTGCGGGGAGGCAGCGGTTTGCCCGCTCGGAGAAAACTATCTCCAAGCAAGCAAGCAAGCAAGCTAGCTAGCTGCTGCCTCTTGCGCTCGCCTCACTGTGCATGTACACCCGCACCTCGCCTCACCTCGTCTCGCCGCACGCCATGCTCCCCTCAGTGCATGCGCCCGCATGTGCCATCCCCACCCACCCCCCGCCGGCCGGCCGGCCTGCGCACCCTGCGGCACCACCTTTCCAGCCCGCGCCCAGCACTGGCACCTTTCAACTGGCCCCCTGGTGGAAAAGTTTGAGGAGTCCTGTTGTAAGACCTACACCTAGGCATGACGGAGAGATTTTAGTCCTTCATCTTTCAGTGCAGCAAATGTTCTACTGTATTTTTAGACTTTTAGACTGTTGCAGGCTCTCTTAATTTGATTCAACGCCATAATTTTGAACTTTTAAAAGATTTCTATTATGTTTCATCATGTTGTTGTTTTCATGGCTTTATTTTTTTTCCTTCTATTTTTATTGTACCACATGGAAACAATCACACCTTATCCTTATTGAAGTTTTTTTTTTTTAAGTTTTCCAATTCCCAAACTGTTATCATATGTATAACCCTACTTTTGAATTAGGTTCTCTTTCATCAGCACTCAATGATGTTTACATTACAGTAATTCCTAAATCAGATTGAGATCATACCCTCTGTGTAGCTTATTGACATTTCATTTATGAATGCTGATATTAAAAAATTACTGCAATTTTGGCTGACAGACTACAACAAGTTCTTACATTAGTCCAACTGGACCTGATGGGATTTATTAAAAATAGGAAAGGGACTGATAATCGTAAGATTGTTTCTGGATCTGACTGTGTTAAATAAAGGCAGTATAGACAGAGCTGTCATTATCTCTTTGGATGCAAGAAAAGGCCTTCCATAAAATGTATTGGAAATTTAACTTTGCCATATTATGGTTTGTTTTTCTTCCAGAATTTCAGAAATGCATACAAATTTTATATGAAATTCCCAGAGCTAAATTTAGGGCCAACTGAGTCATACCTGAGGCTTGTTTTTTTGGCTGTTTACCTGAAAGCAGGGATAAACTCTTTCCCACTGATATGCAACTTATGTTTGGAACCCCTGGCATGCACTATACAACATAGTATGTTGTATATTATGGATTTGTGTATAGTAAGTTAGAATATAAACCTATTCTCTATACTGATGATCCTCTCAGAACTCCAGTAATCTGTTCCAGCTCTGATGAAAACAATCAATGATTTTGGATATTTACCTGGTTATTTTATTTATTTGTTTAGAATATTTATATGCCGTCCTTTTCGCAGAGCCTCAGGGTGGCTTACATATATAAATAAAAAATAATAATATAAAACATGATACAAATAAAATTCCAGATCCACCCTGGAAATTCCAGATGTTATTAACTGGGCACAGTCAGAACTTATGTCTGTCTGGAGTTAATGCACCCCATAGTGTGTTGCCTAATAAGCAATTTAGACGTCGTGCTGAGTTTATTCCTTATCTGAAAATACTTGTCAAAGAGACAGATCATAAATGATTAAGTTAAGTTGATTAATGAGATGTCAAGGGACATTAACAGACATTTATAAAGTTAAGTCTATGGGGCAAGGTAAATACACTTAAAATGAATGTAATACATTAAATCGTTCATGTTTTATGTTTTATAGGGCAAGTATTTTCAGAAGTTTAAAGTTTTTTAGGTGGGTTCCAGTCCACCATGAATATCCTTGAAAAGGATGCAACTTTAAATCTAAGAGGATGGATTTGGCCTTTTCTTATAGAATGGGGTCTATTTGTTGCCTGTACTAGATTTCCCTCCCCAGTGAGTTTTACAATCTTCATGTGTGGATCCTCTTCCAGATGGATTACACTGGGCTCTTGTCCTACTAAACTAGATAATGTGTCTCTTCCAGTCATGGCAGCTAGAAAGCTATGGGATGTATTTTCATATCCGTTGCAGTTTGATGCATTTTACATGCAGAATTAGCTTTATGGAAAAGTCCAGACTTAAAGATTGGCAAGAACATGTTTGGCAGATTTGGACAAACAAGCTGATTGTTACTTTGGATCAATTTGTCTGTCCTGGTGATAATTTTCCAGAAGGCATAATAATTTTCCCATTTACTGCTTCGGGTCCTAAATACAAATTGCTAGTTACAGCTGCATGGCAACATATGTACTTGTTAGACGTATAGATTGTCCTGCTGCTTTTATAGCTTCAGAGCCAGCTGTGTTTTTGGAAGTGCTGATCAAGGCTGCACCTACAATTCTTGTGTATCAACTGAATATTTATGTGAATAAATATAACACAGAGAGTCTTGTCAAAAAATGGAATAACAAACTAGAAAATCCAATTTTACCCCATCAACTGAATGCTCCATTTTTATTTCAGGAAAGGTTACAGATCTTAGGCTTTGCTTAATTCAGCAAAAACTGATCTTTCAAGTATTTTGGATGCTATACTGTCTCTCTGATAAAAGCTTAATTACATCAGTCAATTATTGGAGATATAATGCTATTAATACTCCACTTCTCCATATGTTTTGGTGCACCTTCCTTCTTGGAGGAGGTAATAATTCAGATAAATCATGTGATGGAAAATTCTTTAACACTTAAGGATACATGTGTTCATTTGACTTACACATTCCTTAGAATTTAACAAAAGGTCAACATAGAATCTCCACACTCTTTTGACAACTAAAAGATTAATATTACAACATTGACAGGATAAACTGCCCCTGCAATAATGCAATGGGTGGAGAATTTAATGAATTTTTCAATTTTTGAATGAATGGCCTTCAGGCATAATCTACAAATGGATATTTGGGATGCCTTTGTTGAAGTATATGCATAATGTGATGTAGTGGATAAGAGCACAGGACTGCGACTCAAATGATCTGGGTTCTAGTCCCCATTTGGCCATGGTACCAACTGTGTGACTTTGGGCCATTCACAAACTCTCACCCCAACCTACCTCACAGGGTTGTTGTTGTGGGGATAAGACTGAGAGCAGCAGCAGGAGAATGATGTAAGCTGCTTTCAGTTCTTTCAAAAAAGAAAAAAGGCAGGATCTAAATCTAATAAAACAAACAAACAAATGTTTTATTAACTTTAATGCATTGCAGTATATAATAATATGTGGGAATGTGTGATAAATGTAAGCAGTGCTATATCTTCTTTAGAATTTCATTCCAAATTGTAATACTTCAGTTATGTTTTTAATTGTTATCGCACCCCTGAAGAGTTTCAGCTAATGGGGGAAGGGAAAAGAATAATAATCATTGAGACATCCTGTTGTGCAAAAGGCAGCTGGGCTGAACGACCAAGGGCTTTGGTGTCTGCTCAAAGGCGGAGCGAGACCTCTCATTAACCAGTATGTTGGCACTGCTAATGCCCACGTCTGCCGGAGATTAGTTACAAATGGGGACATTCAAAATGTGTAACTAAGGGCGCCTCTTTCCTCAGACTCCCTCTCCCACCCTCAGTTACTTCAATCGTTTCCAAGCTGCTTTAAGGATACAACTTGTATTCCAACTTGTCCCATCCTTACATTTTAGGGCCCCCCAGAACCAAGCCCTATACACGCACGAGAACAGAACGAAAGGACGCGTCTCCCTTCACACGTGCAGGCTGATACCGCTTTCCAACACATCAGCATCAGCACAGCTCAGGGCAGGACTGCAAAGTTACAGGACTTGTCAGCTGCAGGAGTCCTCGTTGCCCCGCGCCCCATCGCACCCCGGGGGCCGCCCGCCGCCCGCACTCGAGCGCGGCGGCGCCGGCGGCGGCGTTCCGAGGCTCCCCGGCCGAGCCCGGCGCAACCACTCACCCGCCTTCCAGCCGGGCTCCTTCTGTCAAGCCCAGCAGCCCCACCGTCCCACGGCGACGTGCTCCGCGAGCGCGCAGACTCAGTAGCGGCCGCTCGGCCTGCGACGACAAATCAGCACTCGGGAAAGGGCAGGTGGACTTCGGCGCTCATTCTGAGCATGCCCAAAGGAAGGCGCATGCGCATTAGTAAAAAGGGAGCCGCCTTTCGTTCGTGGCGTGATGCCGCGTTGCCGATTTCGCTGTAGTCTCAAACGGGAAGCCCGGCAAGTCGGGTGAAATAGTTTCCTCCAAACTGGAGTTCTCGGAAAGGGGTGGGGAGTTGGACTACATGGTCTATCATCCTCAAGCCATATCTGGAGGACAGCGGTTTCTATAGAAGCTGGTCTAGAAAAGACACACAAAGTGCGAAAAATCGAGTGATGCTCTAGAGAAGTTGATGACACCTGAGTCAGTCGGGCTCCTGACCCCTTGCAGCGGTCCTCCTGAGCTTTCTGGTTGCTGTCCATGGTGCTGAACTCTGTCCCAAAGTGGAGAGTTCCTATAAAGCTCAGAATAAAGGCTGTAATGGATAAGGAGTCTTCAGCATCCCTTGTTGATAATTAGCCTTATTAGAAGAAACCTCAGTGTGTGGGTGGACCCTTCATCTGGCTATTTCACAGCTATTTACCACTACACAACAAATTAGAATCATAGAATAGTAGAGTTGGAAGGGGCCAAGAAGGTCATTGGGTCCAGCCACCTGCTAGAGGAGGACACTAAGTTAACCATCCCACTCAGATGAATGCCCAGTCACTTTCTGAGTGCCTCTAGCATACGAGAATCTACAACCTCCCTAGGTAATTGGTTCCATTGCCATACTCCTCTGACAGTGAGTAATTTTTTCCTGGTATGTATGTATTTATTTAGAGTTTTTGTATGCCATCCCATCGCTTATAGCCTCGGGATAGCTCACATAAACAAACAAACAAACAAACATGGTACAAAATACAATTAAAATCCGGAAACACCCTGGCTGCACAATTAAAACCTGAATCTGGTTTTCTGTAACTTATGTCCATGGTATGCACAGGTGTGGGGATGAGGACATGACAATTTCCCTCATTAGCCTGCCCACCCTTTGGACAACTTTATCCTGAGAAGAGAGGGAGTCGTACCCCTGTTTCTTTCAGGAAAATCATCTGCAGCATTCAGAAGATTTTCTTCCCTCCACATACTCACGCGCACAGACTTTTCCTGAGATGTGACCAGACACTCTGTGTGTGTGTGTGTGTGTGTGTGTGAGAGAGAGAGAGAGAGAGAGAGAGAGGGTGCAATCACATGGGTAGGGCCCTCTGCATGATAGGCAGCCTAGCGTTTTGGACTACAACTCCCATAATCACTGACCACTGTGTGTGTAGGCTGGGACTTATGGGAGTTGTGGTACAAAGCATCTGGAAGGTACTAGTTTGCCTACCTTTCCTTCCCCTGAAAAATGGTTGCTTTTTAATTCACACCCTTTCTTTGGCAGCATAGGATTGACCCGCAACAAAGCAGCTTCCATGCCACAGGGAATGCAGGAGAAGCAGCCAATCTGCCTGTGACACAAGAAAGAAAAATAGATATACGGCAGGCAATCAGCCGTAAGTGGCAGATAAATCGGATGAGCCACCTCTGGTTATGCTGGATCCCTACAGAGCGCATGAGTGCAGTGCATAAGACGTGGCATGGCTGGGCAGCAGGGCAGAGCTGACCCCTTTCCACCCCCACCCAGACTTAGACCACTTTCTCCACTTCCTCTCACCTGTCCTTCCCTTGACAGATGCTGCCTGGAGCCACAGAGCCAGGTCAGGCATTCAGCTTCCCCAGCCCCTTGTGCAACAACAGCAGGAGCCGGCAACATTAGTGAGTGCGTGGAGGGAAGCAGCTCTGGGGGCATCAGCAGAGGAATGGCTCTGAAGGCAGCAGCTGTGGTGCAAGTTGTGAGCCGCCCCGAGGCTTCGGCGAATGGGGCGGCATAGAAAAGTTTTAATAAAATAAATAAATAAATAAGTACGGGTGCTTCTGGGTGGTTGTCCCTGCACCGTTCATCAGCAGGCATGAAGCAGCTGTTGGGAAGGCGGGGGCTGGTAGAGGACCTGCTTTGCATGTACAAGGTTTGAGTGTCATTCCCAGGCATCTCTGCCTAAGGCAGGAAAACTTTGCTGCAGAGGAGCCATTGCTGCCCATCAGTGTCTAGGAATGCGTGACACATGGAGCCAGCGAGGGTTAATTTACACTCAAGCTACTGTCGTATGTGCTAGCTACCCTTATGAATATGCAAGCCACAATAAGGCATTGTGGGTTCATGGGAACTTGGCTGGCAGGGAGTGTGTGAGGGCTAGGCAACCATCCCCTAATCCTACAGCAAGCTCCTGGCATACTGTGCTAAATTCATGAACATGCTGAGTAGAATTGCAATTGTGAAACACACCTGCACAATTATGCACAAGGGAGCCCTCCTACCCTAGCTCCTTCCTTCCTCTTCCTTCCTTTCTTCCTTCCTTCCTTCCAATCCCATTTCTTTTTGCATCGGGTCTTTTGTTGTAAGCCTGAGAGTGTCTCATTACTAACATTCATAAGCTGCTCCGGAAGTCTTTTTTGGCTGAAGGGTGGGGTAAAAGCAGTGTAAATAAATAGCCTGCCCTGACAAACTCCTCTTATCCCATTCCCTTTGGGATGTCAATAAAAGCAATCCACTCAACAATCTACTGATGTAAGAGCAATCGAATGTGCTTTTATGCACGTAAGAACATAAGAAAAGCCATGCTGGATCAGACCAAAGGTCCATCTACTCCCGTACTCTGTACACACAGTGACAAACCAGCATCCCACATGCAGGATGGGTGCAAGGCCTCCTCCTTATGCAGGCATGCCAGGCACCCTCTGGTCAAGGAGGCATCACATAGCCAGCAAAGCTAGTAGCCAGAGGCTTCCTGCATCATGAATATGTCCCATCTCCTTTTAAAGCCATTCAGATTGGCAGCCATCTCCACTTCCTGCAGCAGCAAATGCCATCATTTAGCTATACGTGGTGTGAAGATACTTCCTTTTATCTCCAAACAGCTTCATGGGATGACCCTGGATTTGGTACAGGAGAGGGAGAAAAATGTCTCCCTCTCTCCTACTTTGTCTCTTCCTGTGCATTCTTGAACATCTTATGTGACAAAGATTCACTGGCTGCCCTTTCCATTCCCAGTAGGTACAACTCCTAATGACTTCAGTGAAGCAAGTTCATGTTCGGTGTCAGGAGAAGTAATGGGATCCCGCAGACTATGAGTTCACTTGCCCTGCGATCTTTAAAAAGAGGTATCTGTTACTATATGTGAGCTGCTGTAAACTTCCCAGAAAGGTTTGGGTAGTAGTAGATGGCTGGTATAGGAATTAAATTAATAAGAATAATACTATAGTGATAAACCCAGAAAGTGAACAGAGACCAAATCTAATAAAGAATGAAAAGTTTATGTTACTTTCATACATTTTATGCTTACTGCTGCTGGGCACTTTTGCCTTTGATTTTGCATCTCATACACATGGACGTGTGTGTATATCTGGCAAATACTCTGCAGTGAATTAAAACCCAGGAATTAAACAAATGTTCTGCACTTTTCACAGCCATCTGGCAGAGAAAACATTCCTTTACTCTGGGTGAACTCTGAGCAGGGCAACAACCCATAGTCTGGCTGTTGTTACATTCAAATCAGGCCAGGGTTTCCAGAATGCTTCTGGTAACATGTACCCTGAGAGAATGTTAAGAAGAGATTTATGGCATCTGTTTCTATGATTCTGACAAGCCTATTTTTGTAAACAATGTGATAAGAGACTCAAGAATACAAGTTAAAATGTGACGTTTCATAGTCAACTATCTATCCAGAGGTGAGTGATTGATAGCCCCCAGATCCACTGGACTCAGCAAAGGAAAATGCTGGTTGAGGGATGCTGGGAGTTGGAGACTTTTTTCCTAAAAAGATTTGAATGGCATTCTTAGGTGCTATCAATGGCAGGAAAGTCACAATAAGGTGCATGGCTCCTGAAAGAATCTGAAAAGCACCAACATGTCACAGGAGATGACGGCAATCAAAGAGGCTGCAACCAAAATAAGGCATGACTTGACAGTAGATTCGTTATTTGCTTTACAACCTCAAAAAAGAAACTAAAAGGGATCAGAATGAAATAGACAGCTATGGCAGTAATGGGAAATTCAGCAACAAACTCAATGTTATGGCAGCTGAAAAAAATAGACTACTTGTTCACTGCAACCAAAGAGACCCAGTTTAAAATGGAGGACTTTTAGAACTTTTAGAACAGGAGTCATCTTCTAAATGTTCATATTCAAGGAAATGCAGGGCAAGAAGAAGGTCGTGACAATGCAATATTCTTAATCCACTAGCTCTGTAAGCTTCTGCCTATATTCCAAACTGACTTTGAAAGAGAACATTGTTCATTAGAACCAGGCCCTCAGAAGGGGGCACAGCCTGGAGGCCTTGTAATTAGATTTGTATGGAATCTCCCCAAAACTAGGCAGAGTATGCCATCATTTCCAGATTTTAGAATAGCTGAAATAATAATACCTGGATAAATAAATATCTATTGTTTGGATCTTGAACTGAAAAATTAATTATTTTAGGGACATTTTTAAAATTGACCTTGTGATTCAACACTGTTAGAAAGAAGCTCAGTTAGCATAGATGCTAGATTCCGGGTCTGATAGACATTTTCACTCCACTTTGTAGTCCCATCTCCCTCTCCCTCTTTCTGCTACAGCTCCTTCCAACCCATGCATCTTCCCACTCACAACTAACAGAAGCTTTGGAAGGAGGTATTTGTAGGAGGACATCAGAATAGGGGTACTGGATTAGACCATTCTTCCTGTACAGCTACTTTTTAAGGTAGGAAAGAACATGGATTTGGGTCACAGAATATGTAGCATGTAGTGTGACCCTTCATTGACAATGTTTCTATGAATCTGAGCGATAATTCTGCTCCCTGAGACACTAAATCTATTTAATGGTTTATGATCTGGAAACATAACTATAAATTGAAGGTGCAGTGAAAGGGTGTTCTGGATTAGGATCGCACATCTG